CACCCCTCCCACCTGTACCGCTCCCTCCTGTACCTCCCTGCACCCCCTCCCACATGTACCCACCTATACACACTCCCATCTGCACCCTCCCCACCTGCACCCCGTTCATACACTCAATTTCATCTTTTCAGAAGGGCCAGGGTCAGCTGTGCAGCATAGGAGCTGCAGAGAGCATCTCTGGAATGATGCCAACAACAGTTCCTTCCAGATCTCCACGCCTGGCAGCACTTTCCCGCGTCTCTACTGCAGGCACCGACTCCCAGGGCACCTTTCACAGTCCCTCCTGGGATTCTCAACATTCCCCACCCTCCACTCTGATCCTTTGGTGAGAATGAGGGAGAAGCAGGACCCTTGGCATTTCAAGGAACAGCCCCAAAGGGAGATGCCACCCTGCTTTGGTGGCTTTGTCATAGTGCCCCTGGTGGTGGCATAAAGACTCAGGAAGCACCTGCTGGGCTGGCAGCCCTCCCTCCAGGAGTCTGTCCCTGGGCATAGGGACCTCAGGTGGACACACAGAGCTCTTCACTGGGACTGAACAAACACAGCCTGGCCTGTGCAGGAGGGACCAAGACCCCGGGAGAAATTCCTTCTCTATATTCCGCTGTCTTGATATTTCTTCCTTACATTTCTGGGGCTTTTCTCTCTTTCCTTCTTCTTTATAATCTCTGCAGTGCTTCTCTATCCACACTACCTCACTCATCTCTTGTAGCCCTGGGAGGTGGCTAAGCGTGACCCCTTCCAGGGCAGCCATCACTAACACAAGCCATTCTTGACTTTTCAAACTGGCCCTGGCGGTCTGTTCAGCTGCCCCTCAGAGGGCCAGTGAGTCATCCCCTACCCGTCCCTCCCACATTGCATCAGGTGGGCCCTGGGAGCATTGGAGCATTGGATGGTCAAGGGAGCTGTGTCACCCTGCACCTCCCAAATGTCAAGGTGCTGAAATCCGCGGGCTCCTTCCCAGGCTGTAAGAAGCCCCCTTTCCTTCTGCACAACTCTATCCCCTCAGCC